GCAGCCCTGGGGGGGCGGGCCCAGCGCCGCGAAGCCCAGAGTCGAGCGGAGCAACCCCGCGCAGAGGCAGGCCACAGCCTGCCTCCCAGCCCCCAGCTTGGGAAGGGTGAGGGGGCAGGGACAGGTGTCTCAGGCCGAGCAGACTGGCCGAGGCGGCAGCAAGGAGAAGCTGGCTCGGATGCCCAGAGTCATCCTGTCAGAACCGACAGCTCTCACCCTCGCTCGGCTCCTACCAGCTGACAAGGGCCTTGGTGTCCCCAGTGGGGGCCTTCCATTCAGGCTTCTCTCCCCGCCTTCTCCTCTACCCGGCCGGACCCCTGCCACAGAGAAATCGGCCGGCCACGGTCGCTTCCCAGAACGATTGCACCATTGTGGCTGCTGCCGGCCTGGCACTGCCCCCACGCCTCGCAGTCCTGGCAGCTTTGAGGGAAGAACACTGGGCCGGATCCCACAGACCCAGAGGTATTGGGGAGTGGAGATGGTGCCTTATGGGCTGTCCCTTCAAACTTAAGCTCCTGTAAGTCTGTCCTTGACTGAAGGAAGGAGGGAGGTAGCTGAATTCACAGGCCCAAGGTTTTCATACTTGTCCAAGTCCAGGCCTTTAGAATTGTTTTTTGCCCTCTTCACTCATTGAACCTAGCCTTGGACTCAGTTTCCCCTCACCTGAATGAAGAAAAGGGGAAGAAAGAATTAATGGGTGAAAGGACTGCAGCTTGAACCCTGAAAATCTGTTGCTGTTTCTGATAGTTGAAAGAACCCCCTGCAGCAAGGCTCCACCCCTCTCTACCCATCCACCTCCAGGCTCCCCCAACTCTATAGATAGATCATAGATCGTAGCTCAGCACCTGGGAGTGGGGGTATGGAGGAGAAGTCAGATCTGGTTTCAGACAGCCTGGCTGGAGTGGGGTCTGCAGCTCCTCTTCTTCCCAAACTCTGAGTTTCCTGGCCTCTTGAACTAAGGCTCTGGGAAGTAGAATGGGCTCTTGCCTCAGAGAGACAGCACCCTGGTCCTTGGAACTCCTTCAGCAGGGAGGATCAAATAGGGGCCTCGTTTTGGGGTGGAGGCCTGTCACCTCGCCTGGCAGACTTTCTGCTGGTTGGGGGAGGAGCAGGGTGAGGCAGCAAACGCCAGAGATGGACAGGTGACTTGAGAAAATGCTCTGGGATGGCGTTTTTATGATGCAGAGATGACTCGCAAACCACATCAGCCTTTCTTTCTTTCAGAACCTTGCTAACCCCTTCCTCCCTCTCCATTAGTCTCCAGCCAGGGGCCGTGCCAAGCTGGCCAGGCCAGGGGCCTGGAGCCAGGGGGAAGAGAGAAAGACAAGGACCATGGCTCCCAGTCTCCCAGAATGAATGTATGGACTGGCCTAGGGCCCAGAGTGGAATGGATGAGCTCGTTTGTCTGTAGAGGCAGGAGCGGGAATGGCCGAAGGATGCTATTTGCCCTGGCAATCTCAGAGCTGGGCATGGAACTCCACTTCCTCGCCCTACCCCCGCTCCCTTCCCTTAACACCATTAACTAATTATTCTCCTCTCTCCGGCCTGAAAACAATGCCAGCTAACCACCAAGGACAGTCAGTTCAGAATTATTCCGCCTGAGGAGAGTGAAGCCAAAGTGAAGCGAGGTGGGGGTAGAGAAGCTACCTCTGCAGTGAAGAGGAAATGAAATTAGAGGCCAGAGTGACATCTTAGCCCCAAAATAAACACAAAAGATTGTCCTTTAATGAAGCAAGTAGCATGGGACAATCTGAGCAACCAGGGGGCAGACAGTTTTGAGATGGCTTAATGAGGGGCGCACCAGAGAGGTCAAAACTTCAGAGGGATTTAGAGAGGACTGGAAACAGGAAGGAAACAGGCAGAACAGTGTAGAGGGAGCAGCTCTCTGGCCCCTCTAAAATGCCAGAAGATAGAGCTTCCGCAGTCACAGGAAAGAGAAGGTGCAGAGGAAGAATTCACAGTAAGAGGACTGAGATCCAGCAGAAGGGGAGACGAAGGAGGCAGCGATGGGCCTTCTACCAGCAGAGACTCTCACCCCTGGACTGGGTTAGAAGCACCCTTGTCCAGAGGTAGGCCAAGGTCAGAAGAAGAGGCCCCAGGCCAGAGTTCTAATTCTTTGCTTGATTTTTCTGCAGAAGGAAGGGGTAGGAATGCTGTTTTCCTGACTCCCCGTGGTAGACCTGGGCTATTCAGACGAGAGGACTTGCTGTGTGGAAGGCCCTCTGTTGTGTCTCTCTGGCATAGGTCTGACCACAGGCAGAGACACTGAGGCTAGACAGGTTGTTGGCCATGTTCTGGGTCTCTCAGCTAAAGTCTCCAGGGTGGGTGGAGGTTTCATTTCATTGTAAGGAGAAGTGGAGAAGAGTGGGGCCCCAGCTGCAGTGGAGTTGGAGGTAAAAAAACAAGGATGGGTCTGCCCCAGAGGCTCAGTGGGGTGAAATCTGAACCTAGGAGCCCTTCCTCAGCTCTGGCACAGTGGGCACAGTGGCTTCCCACCCACCCCTCTGGTCTAGGAGCCTCTATCAGGAGGATGTGAGAAGGGCAGCCTGAACAGAGGAAGGAAGCTGATAAAGACAAGTTTGCAGCTGTAATGAGAAGGAGCTAGAGGTGGAGGAGGGTGGCCCAGCAATCTTGGCAATTATAGAGGCTGGGGAACCCCCTTGACTGGCCGGAAAATAGGATTCAATCTGGGCTGGAGGGGAGGTAGGAGAATTTTTCCAGAATGGGGGTCTTAGTTGGGAGGAAAATGTGTGGAGGGAGTGAAAAACAGGGCGGGAGGAGGGTGGGGGCAGTTGTTGCTGAGGACACCATTATGGCAGGAAACCGGATACTGGGGGGCTGGGTGGAAGATGTGGGGAAGAGATTGAATGGGGGGAAGCAGCCCCTATCCTGGTGAGACACACTGTCACCCATTTCCTTCACATCTGATCGGGAGCAGGAGGGAGGGGGTACCTGTCTGGATTGAGGTGGGCCCCAGAAACACTGTGGAAGAGGAGGGTGACTTTGGGGGATGGGAGGAGCTATTTTAAACTTGGAACAAACGTGAGTGAGTTCATCTCCACCCTGAGTGCTGGAGGCGGCAAAGGCCCCATTGTACAGGGGTCCAGAGAAGGGGAGGGGGAGGGGGTGAGCAGCACAATGGCTCCTCACAAATGTTGGAGCAGGCAGGGCCTGAGAAGGGTGGGGGTGGGGGTTTTCATCACAGCTGGCCTACTGAACTCTGGGGTCCAGCCAGGCTGGGGTTGGACAAGGGGGTTTTCCACTCACACAAAGCCCCCTGTTAGGGCGCTGGGGTCTCTGGCATCAGTGGGCCATCCTGGGGAAGGGGCTGTGGGTGGGATTCCCATACCCTGGCTTTCCCAGGAACTGCAGGGTCTGTTCCCAGGCTCCCAGCATTCCAGTGACTCCCCTGGGAGCTGCTGGCCTCTGCTCTCAGCCCCTTTCCTGCCAGGGAGTTGGGGGAGAGGAGAAAGAGGATGTAGATGTATAGGAACTCTTCCTGGGGAGTAGGGACCCTTAAGTCAGAGGGAGGGGACACAGTGTGGGGGGTGTTGAGGGCATCCACAGCCATTCCATCCTGGTCCCTATCATGCTGAGTCCTTAGCCGGGGGACTGTCTGTCACTTTTGTCTCTTCTGACCCCAGGGGCTTCTCCAAATAGAGAGCCCTCCAGCACCCAGGGCCACAGCCCGGGGGATCCCAAGGCATCCCAGGAGCTCCTGCTCCCCAGGTCTTGCCCAGTGGAGGATGCGGGGAGGCGGGGTATCTGGCTGCAACTCACAGCAACCCAAACATTACCATAAATGCTCAGGCCCAGCCTCAGGCTGGGCCAGGAGAGGCTCATGCTGGGTGGGGCATGGTGTGGGGGGGACTCTGGGGCTCTCCGGAAGCTCAGAATCCTGTCTCCAGGCCTTTCCCAGCACAGGGCTGGCAGCTTGATTCAGTCTGCTTGCTCTCCCATCTGTTAAGGAAAGAGTAGGACCCTCCAGCCAGGATTTCAGCACTGAGACAGTTGTGGGGGCTTTTGGGTCTCCCTCTAGCTCTGTAGGACCCATGCCTGTCATCTCTAATAATGGACCCTCCCGCCTCTAATCCTGGATATCAGTTCTCTGGCCTCTGAGGGCCTA